ACTACCTTCTAAAAATTATTGTATCATGCGGATGACATTAGAAGGGCTACGCATACAACAAAATATATGTAAAGCGATGAACTACAAAGAAGATGTTGACAATATAAACTGTGCATATGCTACTGCAATAACACACAATGTTTAAGCTATCGGAAGATAAAGAAGTTGCTAAATGTTAAATGTGGTGTCCGGAAAATGTATTTATGTCGTTTTTTTAAATTGTGAATAATTAAACTAATTTTTATGTTAATGTAAGTCAAATATGTTGAAATCTAACTATATTTGTATTGTTCTAAATAATTTTGCTTGTTACTAATAATGTTTTTCGTTTTTGCAAATTAATAAACGGACTCCCTGAAGATGACGCGAAAATGCGACGAAACGCGTAGGAAAAAAAAATAAACTTTTATTTTTATTTTCAACACACCGGACGAAAAGCTCCAAATACAAATACACAAATAAATTTACAACATTAGCCCAAAAAAAAAAAAAAGAATTTACAAGTTTCATTGTGTGATTCCTTAAAATATTTGAACATACTGATTTATATGCGAAAATATCATTAAACACAGCAACACAAAATTGGTGTTTTTTTTTTGGGGAAAATTGCGCTATTTTCGGTATTTTGGTGCTTTTTTAAATAAAAAACTTGGCGATCAGGGCTGCCAACTTGGCTCAAACCGTGCCATTTTTGGCACTATTTTACTTGAAATGGCACTGAATTTTTCAAAAAAAGCCAAATTTAAATACATATTTGTGAAATCCTATGCGTGTACTTCTTTTTCTCAACTAAAATTTTCTAATTTCTATAGTGTATACAACTGGTTTATCTTACTTTGACATTGGGCTTTTGTTTTAATTTGTCTAATTTTAATGCTAATGGGAAGAACTAAAGAGAATGACACCTTTTTGGCACTTTTAATTTTCTATTTGGCACGTTCTAGCACTTTTTTATCCTCAATATGGCACTTCATAGCTATGTATGTTTGGCAGCCCTGTTGGCAAATTTGATCACTAGCTGACCTTCACTTGGCACACTAACACAATCACGTTTTCAGCTCGCGTTTACTTGTGGTAGTGATCACATCTGCTCATATACACTCCTCGTCATTTGAATTGCACACCCTTTCAATTCTTAGTATTTACAGTTTTCCGTTTGTTTATTTAATATTAATTTTTTGTAAAAATATCGTCACTACATACGAATAAAGGCGCGCTGGTGTTTTGACGGTGAAAAAAGCGTTTATAAAAATTTTGCGAAAAAGGATGCTTATAAAAAACTTTGGCGAAGTATGTTAAGAGTATTTGACGCTGAAATTTTTTCATGCGTCTTTTTTCGCCGTCAACTTTTGAGCTCGCGCCTTTATTCGTGTCTAGTGACGATATAGCATATTCTACGGGTAAATGCAATTTTAAAATTTTTTACAAACTAAAACTTAAAAGAAAGTTTATTATCATTTCTTGGGCAGCATTTTATATGATTTTTTCGTTTTTCTCGAGAGCTGGAAACAGTTCTTAAAAAAGGTCAACATAGGAGTGTGCCATCCTAATGACCTGCAGTGAATAAGTTAATAATATTTTTAGAAAAATTTCTGATATGCAGTTTTGTAGCCCATTCAATTATAGTGTAATTAAGTGCAAGTTTGAAGTGACTCTAAAACAGCCCCGATTTTTCGAATTCATTTATTTTTTATTGACAGTGCTGCGCATTTTATTCCATATAAAAGTTTTGTCAAGCATACTTTCTATGAGAGAAAATGCGCAGCACTATCACCAAAAAAATTGTCAAAAATCACCGCTGTTTTACAGACACTTGAAACGTGCACTTTATTGTACCCAATGCACATTAAACAGGTAGTATCAGTAGAGCAAAAACAACATTTGCGTGTATTTTGTTGTTGCTTCTGGTATCGAAAGTGTCAAAAACTGTTCTGAATTTTTTCTTCTAAATCAAAGCGTGCCATGTGAAATACAAAAAATTATAAAAAATAAAAAATTGAAATTGGAAAAAATAAAAATTGATGCAACTTTCTTTCCTAGTAAATTTGTTTGCTTCTCGAAGCATTGATCCATCCTTTGCAAGGCCCAGTAATCAGCGGTCGTGCTGCCGAGTTGGGCGAACGTTCCAAAAGCTGCTATTCAATCGCTTGTTTTGTATGGAAAAAGGTTTCACAAGCAAATGGATTTTAACAACTTATAATTTTCGTGAGAAAAAATTAAAAATATTTGACATTTTCGAGACCAAATAATTTGAAAATAAATCAAATCAGCTGCTCTACTGATACTACCTGTTCAATGTACCTTGATTGTACCCCTTTGCTGACATTTTTTTAACTCTGTATAAAGTTTTAAAATCGGATATAATGAATATTAAATAAACAAAATTAAAAGTGTAAATACTAAAGATTAAAAAGTTGAGCTATTCAAATGACGAGGAGTGTATGTGGCGTACGTTTGGGAGAGTGAGCCTTTTTACTCCAGAATGCGTGTGCAGTGGATCTCATTGCTATACGTGTATTAGTAAGATTTGTTGCCCCTTCCCGTTTGCCCATGATTTTCCCCAGATCTAGCCCGCGAAATGGGTTCGCTTTCCCATACGGGCAAAAGTGCCCATGTCTTCTCTAATCTTTTATTAGCAAGTTTTTGTTAAATTCATACCATATGCATACGCATAAGAAGTACTGGTTTCAGGCCCAACCATTTACGTTGCACCATTTCCGTTGCATAATTTCTGTTGCATCATGTCCGTTGCATACACACAAGAAGTACTTGTTTCAGCCCCAACCATTTCCGTTGCTCCATTTCCGTTGCACCAATTAAAATTAAAAAAATTAAAAGGAGCAAGAGCCAGGACGGTAAGGCGACTAGTTGCGAAGTTAGAAGACTTCGTTGGGAGAACCGCTGCGGTGTTCAATTAGAAGATTCTTCCCGTGTCTGTGAAAATCATTTCAACGCGAATGATTTTATTACTTGCAGGCAAATACCTCTAAGCGCAGGCGTTTATACCAAGGTGCAGTTCCCATGCCCTGGGAGGATCCTGTGCCTGAAATGCATGGAGCATACGAACGTTCAGAAGTGACGATATCATATGTTGATGCGCAGATGCAAACTGAGTAAAGCTGCCTTTACATGAGGTGATTTTCCAGGCGATTCAACATTGCTCTGGAAAAATCGCTCGTGTAAATGGTGATTCAAAAATCGCTTGCCTCAAAGTAGACAGCAAGTCCACTTTTGCAGGCGATTATCGCCTGTCAAAAAATCGCCGCATAAAGGCCCAGTTATGCATACTTAGCTTTGCATGAGAGTTGTCACATAAAAATCTGTTAAACGGGCTTTGCGTGTAAGCGGTTACCCAACGGACAGCACTTAACATGGAGAATTCTTTTGGGTTTTGATTTTTACGTAAAAATGGTATAGGAGTGCAAGTATGCAGTTTCTTACAAAATTATGCTCACATAAGCACGGCAGGACCTAGATTTTTGCTGATATACATACATACATACGTATGGATGTATAAATGAATTTGTTAGTCTTCATATAACCACATGAGCAAGTTTAAATAACACTGGAATAGCTGCGCTTGATTGTAGTTGGCTTAACTAATGAAAAAGTGGTAAAAAGCAACAGGAATTTACAAGACGAACTTAGCACGGTGCGTAGCCAACTGGCCGAGTCGGCTGGGGTCGTTGGATCGAATCCCACTGAAATAAATCTGATGATGAAATGTCGTGATTTCCGAAATAGCTATGTATCATTTCTACCATTTTTTTCCAAATTATTGTTGCTTTGCCGCAATAGTTTTTCATCAAAATCGGCCTCAAGCTCAATAAAATGTGTTGAATATTTGTGAATTGGTTTCTGAAAGAAACCTTTAGGTCGCGGCGGAATACTATTGGTTTTACCCAATCAAAAGCGTTTAAGGAGGGAGCCATACGATAAGTCGAAAATTAAAATGTCGAAACAGAAATGTAGAAATTTAAAAATATTTCTAATCTCGAAATCGTATCATTTCAAAATGAAAATGTTCAAAAAAGGTTGGAAACTTTGTATTAACATTTTAAAATTTCTTTATTATTGCTATGTCGGTGGCATCAAAAATATACTGTGTATGATTGACCGATCTTGATAGATTTTTCATATCTGAACAATCAGGTGTATTGGAACTGTAAGTTATAGTGATCCGAATTTGTCCGTTCGACAAATGATTAGTAGATTATGTATAAAAAAACACAACCGTGTACCTAACAGAGGGACAGACAGACAGACGGACATGGCTTAATCGACTCAACTCGTCCTTTTGATGATTTTGGTATAACTTTAGGGGGTTTTCCCTTCTTCTGGTACATACAAACATCGAATCCAAACACGATTTAATGTTCATGAAGGGTATAAAAATATACATAATCAAGCAGGTTCCGAATTCACTTCCGGGTGAATTTAAATCAAATGCGCTTTGAATTCAAATTGGCAGGGGTTGTAATTCACTCGGAAGTGAATTGCGGATACTACTACACCGTTGTGAATACCCCAATTATTTCGATATTTTTTTCGACATTTTTTCTAGACATTTTTGATGTTCTAACTATTTTTTTCGAAATTTTTTCGGTATTTTTAGTTTCGACATTTTAAATTTCGACATATCGTACCAGACCAGTTAAAGTTTCCATGGAGTAGCTGCAAATTTTACCCTACCGAAAAGACATTTTTCATTTTATACTTAATTTATTTAAATCTGGGTCTGTAAGATAAAATATATATATTCAATGTAGTATGTGCGAGTAGAATTTCCACATGAGAATAGTAAAACCTAAAGAATATTCATCAAATTTAATTAATGGTGAAGAAATTTTGAATTTTTTAAATATGTTTTGCTTTAAACACAAAGATACACAGGCTCTTTTAGGAAAGCGCGCCTATTACTTTGTCAAAATAAATGCATATGTTTACAATGTCCACATCTAAACCACTAATTAGTAAAATTATTTATAACGACGAATACATAGATATAACTAAACATTTACATAGCATAGACTTAGATTTTATTTCAAAACGAAAGGATGTATTTTATAAGTGTATTAAGAATTTCCTTCGGCTTAACTGGAAAATATAAAATTGTTTTTAATTGCAGTTATATTCTAGAATTATACTTATTATAAACTTGTTGTATCGACTGTCGGCTGTGTATCTGTAGCCTCAGGTTTTTGTTGTATTTCCTTATCGAAATGTGCAAAACCATTTTGTTTCGATGCCAGTGGTTTCAAGTTTTTGCCCATTTTCGACCTTGAGTTAATTGAAATAGATATTATAATTTAACCCTTCAAAATAAGACAGGTCCTTGCATAACTTACACTTCTTTTAGTACGTGTAGTTTAGGGATATTTTTGGTATAAGCTTTAGCCCCTGTTGCTTCCAGCGCAGCTAATTCCATCGGATGCATAGTTTTTTTATGAAAACGACAACTTGGCCCAGTAGAGAAACATTTATCACAAAAGTCGCATTTGTAAGGTCTGAGGTCAGTATGGGCAATTATGTGGTTTTTCAATGTATTTGGCCGCTTAAAGAGACGGCCGCAAAAGTCACATTTATGAGACATCTTATCGGAATGTACCAATAAATGACTCTTGAGAGTAGCTCGCGAGCTCAACTGTTTGCCACATTCTGGACAAATAAGCTTGTCTCCATGTATTTGCATATGCCTCTGGAAAATGATATTAAAAGCATTTACATATATGTTTGCGTTCTAATGTGTGTACATATTTATTACCTTTAAACGACTTCTCAATTTGAAACATCCACCGCAAACCTTACATTCAAATGGCGCATAATCAGTGTGCTGTAACATGTGGTCTGATAGTTGTTTTTTTGTGAGCAAAGTCACACCACATACTTCACAAATAAGCGATGGCCGAGCCACGTGCTTACATTTTATATGTCTTTCTAAACGTTGTCTTGTTGCGAAACTTTTATCGCAATGTGAACAGGAAAATGACTTTGGGTGAACTTTCATATGCGACTTCAATTTATAAGTGTTTTTGAATGAATCGGGGCAATGGGGACAAATTACTTCACCATGTGCCTTTTTCATATGACCACCGTAATCCCTAATATACTTAAAACTTTCAGAGCACATTTTACAAGAGTAGTTATACTCCAAGCCATGTGTAGACGCATCCGAGATTTTTTCCGACTCTTTTGTAACGTTTTTTGAATCCTCCTTTTTTACTTCAAAATCTTCATCACTATCTTCATCGTCACTACTTCCCACCGGCGAATAATCTGGGTCATCGCTATTACTTTCTGCATCGCCAAATGGATCTTTGAATTCATCTATTTTCTCTAACTCAGCTGCAAGAACATCCGTCTGCATTTCGTCAGTATTTCTCTCACTTTTTATTTCGATTTCTGATGATTGAGAAGCATTTGTAACTGGCAAATCGGCAACGAAAATTTCTTCAACTGGAAGTTTAGTGGCACAAGGGATTAAAAATGGTTCATTTTCAATTAACTCGTATTTCTCATGCAAAGCACTTGAATTTAGTTTGCCTAGGTATTTGTTACATTGTAAATCGTCGTACATTTGCTGAACCCTGTTTACCCGCTCTTTAAATCTGATTATAGAATTCATTACTTGATAACATTCTGTACAAACCAACTGCGAGAGTTTTTCATCCTCTTTAATCTAAAAAAAAGCAATTAAATACATATGTACATATGCATGTACTTATTTTGTTTCGAAATGTTTTTCTTACATGAACCCGAAAGAAGTCCTCTATAAAAGGAGCAATAGTACTGCAGTCGTAGCCGCTATTATTTATCGCATTTAGCTGACTCTGTGCGGATATGATGTTTATGTATTGAGAATTAGCCCTTGCACAGAGACGGCACCAATTTTTCCATTCCTCAGCAATAAAATTATCTCTACCAAATGTACAAGATTCTGTCATATTCATAAGTATATCCGACATACGCAAGTACTAAATTATTTTTTGTGGGGAACTTTTAAGTAATTTGGGATATGCGCTGACTATATTAAACTTCTATTCTGCTTAATGTTTAACAAAGTTTCCTATTTTCTTATCCGTAAATGTTTACGAATTCACTATTTTTGTAAAACCATGACACACAATTATCGCCACGCGATAACATGTCGATAATTGCGGTAACCCCCCAAAATACACGATCAAGAACTTGAAGACGGCATCTTTAAAGTAAAATTGACTTTCAAGGTGCGTGCAGCCTGCTGTCAATTCAAATGAATTTTGACAGTAGGACTGAGTTCCAAGTTGGTTTAATGCAAAGCACCAGCCTCTTTTATTTCTAAGGTCGGTGTTATGCAGACAAACTTTTGTTTGCCAAATTAAATGGCGGCTGCTTAGTTTGCTCGGCGGTGGTTATGTCGAGTTTGGCACAGGGTTGCACGTTCATTATGGTTTTCATGGCTATTGCCAACACGAAATGAAAATTTCAGATGTACATAACGCGCACAATAAATATATTTTTATGATATCGTATAGGCAATTAACTGTGCCCCAATCTTTGAAGCTTCTACAGCATATATTCAGTTCCCTAGCTTTCGGTATCACGGCAATTTTTGTGTATAACAACAATTATCTAAAATTTTTGTATATGACAACACCGAATTTGCCGCAGTTTGACCAAACAAAATTAGTTTGCTGTGAGAGTCGCCAAACTCGCTCTCTCCGAGTTTGCTGCAACAACAATTGCACGCAGTTTGCCAAACAAAATTTCTGCATAACACCGGCCTAAACTATAACTGATGGAAATGTCCAATATGCGCTGTCATATTAAAATGCCGAATTGGAACTTAGTTGCGCAAATTGCCGTACTATCGTATGAACAAATTAACCCTCCAGTAGGCCAATTTTTGTATGAGTTGAAAAATTCAGGAATGGGTGATTTTAGCACGAGAAATCCAAAAATGATGTCCATTTCGATTTGTGACAGTAACTTTTTCCTATAGGGGAGAAACACCAAGACCGTCTGGAGACGGGCTCGCCGATATACTTTGACGTATTTTCAGCTTTCTCTTACACAATGTTGACCTACGAACCGGCAATCCTATCTGCAGACGGTCAAAAATGCAAACTGGGTTTTTATATGTCGGCAAGCCGGCCTGTAGACTGTCTGTGTTCGAAAGCAATTTTCTCCATTTCGAATGGTGACATAATTATAAAACTTATATAAAAATACTGTGCTTTTAACTACGAAACCCACTGAATATTTTTGTATCACAAAAAATTTTCAAAAGAAAAAATTTCTTTAATTACGAAATCACTTAATAGCAAGAAATAATTAATTTTAACCGAGTCTCACAATCTGTGATTCAACTGCCGATTAAAATAAAACGGATTGACATAACGGATTAAAACTTACATCGTCGTAAAGGTACGTTTTTTTTTAAAGATCGTGCTTTTCGAATATAGAAAAAATTATTATAGGTGCACTAAATACGTGTTTAGTTAGCGACCATCTGGAGGCGGTTCAGCCTAAGCGATTTTGGCCGAGTTCAGCAAAGCACGCCAGTCGTTTCTCCTCTGTTCCAACTGACGCCAATTGGAAACGCCAATCCTCTGCTACCACCAGCGGGTTCCGAGTTGAATACTTTCAGAGCTGGAGCGTTGGTGTCCATTCGAACGACATGACCAAGGCAACGGAGCCGCTGTATTTTAATTCGCTGCACTATGTCCATATCGTTGTAAAGCTCATACAGCTCATCATTCCATCGTCTGCGGTACTCGCCGTCGCCAACGCGTAAAGGCCCGTAAATCTTCCGCAAAATCTTTCTTTCAAACACTCCAAGAGCCGCGTCATCGGATGTTGTCATTGTCCATGCTTCTGAGTGACTTATAGAGCGTGGTTTTCGTACGTCGAGAGAGGACTTTACTCCTGAATTGCCTACTCAGTCCAAAGTAGCACTTGTTGGCAAGAGTGATTCTGCGTTGGATTTCAATGCTGACATTATTATCGGTGTTAATGCTGGTTCCCAAGTAAACGAAATTCTCTACTTTCTCGAAATTGTAACTGTCAACAGTGACAGGAGATACTTCGTCTTGTTTTCGTTTACCACCAGACCCATTCGCTTTGCTTCCCTATCCAACTTGGAAAAGGCAGAACAGACTTCGCGGTTTTTGTTACCGATGATATCGATGTCATCGGATAAGCTAGCAATTGCACGCTCTTGTAGTAAATTGTTCCTGAGCGGTTTAGTTCTGCAGCTCTTATTATCTTCTCCAACATCAGATTAAAGAAGTCACATGAAAGGGAGTCACCCTGTCTGAAACCCCGTTTTGTGGCGAACGGCTCGGAGAGGTTTTTCCCAATTCTGACGGAGCTGGTGGTATTGCTCAACGTCATTTTACACAGCCGTATGAGTTTTGAGGCGATGCCAAATTCAGACATAGCGGCGTACGGGCAACTCCTTTTAGTGCTGTCAAAAGCGGCTTTAAAGTCGACAAATAGGTGGTGAGTGTCGATCCTTTTCTCGCGGGTCTTTTCCAAGATTTGGCGTGTTGTGAATACCTGGTCTATGGTGGATTTGCCTGGTCTAAAGCCACACTGATAAGGCCCAATCACTTCATTGACGGTGGGCTTCAGTCTTTCAAACAATACGCTCGATAAGACCTTGTAACCTATGCTTAGAAGGCTGATCCCGCGGTAGTTGGCGCGAATGGCGGGGTCACCTTTCTTGTGGATTGGGCAGAGCACACTTAAATTGCAGTCGTCGGGCATACGTTCATCTGACCATATTCTGCACAAGAGTTGATGCATGCACCTTATCAACTCCTCGCCGCCGTACTTCAATAGCTCAGCTAGCAGGCTGTCAGCTCCAGCGGCTTTGTTGCTTTTCAACCGCGTTATTGCTATACGTACCTCGTCATAGTCAGGCGGTGGAACGTCGACTCCGTCATCATCGACTGCGGGCTCGGGTTCTTCTTCTCCACAACTTTCCGTGCTGCTACCATTTAGTAGGGCGGAAAAGTGTTCCCTCCATAATTTAAGTACGCTCTGGACATCAGTTACTAGGTCGCCATTATTGTTCTTACAGGAGTGCGCCCCGGTCTTTAAACCTGCCGTAAGTCGCCTAACTCTCTGGTAAAATTTTCGGGCATTCCTCCTGTCGGCCAGCATTTCAAGCTCTTCGCACTCACGTATTTCTGCCTCTCTTCTTGTTGCGGCAAATACGACTCGCTTTCCTCTTCAGATCCCTATAGCGGTCCCACATAGCGCGCGTTGCGCCCGATCGCAGCGTGGCCCTGTAGGCGGCATCTTTTTTCTCTGCAGCTTCCTGACACTCCTCATCGTACCAGTTGTTCTTTCGGGCTCGCTGAAATCCGACTACTTCTTCGGCGGCGGTACTTAATGAGCGGGAAATGTGGTTCCACTGCTCGCATATGTCGGTTTGTTGAAGAGTGCTCTCTGAGAGCAGGTGTGAGAGTCGAGTAGCGAAAGCGCTGGCTGTCTGTTGTGATTGCATTTTTTGCTGCACAGAGGCTGGTGCGTATCTTGGCTGCAAAAAGATAGTGGTCCGAGTCGATGTTTGGGCCTCGGAGTGTGCGTACGTCTAAAACACTGGAAGCGTGCCTTCCGTCTATCACAACATGATCGATTTGGTTTCTCGTTTTTCGATCCGGAGACAGCCAGGTAGCTTGATGGATCTTTTTATGATTGAACCTAGTACTGCATACTACCATGTTTCGGGCCCCGGCGAAGTCGATCTGCCTCAATCCGTTGTCGGACGTTTCGTCGTGGAGGCTGAATTTTCCGACGGTGGTTCCAAAGATCTCTTCTTTGCCCACCCTGGCATTGAAGTCGCCAAGCACGATTTTGATATCATGACGGGGGCAGCGCTCGTACGTGCGCCCCAAGCACTCATAGAAGAGATCCTTGGATGCCTCATCCTTCTCTTCCGTCGGGGCATGGGCGCAGATGAGCGAGATGTTGAAGAATCTCGCTTTGATGCGGATTGTGGCTAGACGCTCGTCCACCGGGGTGAACGACAGTACTCGGCGACGGAGTCTCTCTCCCACCACAAATCCAACTCCGAATTTGCGCTCCTTTACATGGCAGCTGTAGTACACGTCGCAAGGCCCCAGACATTGTTTGCCTTGCCCCGTCCAACGCATTTCTTGGATGGCGGTGATGTCAGCTTTTGTCCTTACGAGGACATCAACCAGCCGGGCAGAGGCACCTTCCCCATTAAGGGTCCGGACATTCCAGGTGCATGCCCTCAAATCGTAGTCCTTTAAACGTTTGCCGTGGTCGTCATCATAAGGGGGGGTCTCATCCGAGGCTTTGCCTTGCTTCTTCACTGGAAGTGGTTTTACGTGGCGGGTCCCAAGCCCAGCGCACAACCCATTGCTGGGACGGGGGTGGTTTCGCAACCAAATACACGTTTATATAGCGAGCCGCCTGCTCCAAGCAGACACCCGCTTGCAGCCGCACCTACTGGTGAACAGACGCTGCAGACTTCAGTGAGCCCTTAAACCGAATAAGTCAGAGTGGCCCCACCGAAGCTCCCTCTCTTTCTGCCGTGACCCAAGGCTCCACTCGGATTGGTTACCGCATCTCGCACATGGGTTGCTCACGTTGCCCAGAGTGCGCGAACGAGGACGCGATGACTATACCCCATTGCACTCCAAATTTTACATTACAACCTAAAAATATAATCTGACCGATAATAGTTTATCAAATTGGAGGAAGGCCCTGGCGATATGAGGACTTAGCTCCTGACCTTTTAAATACAATCTGAATACGCGATTGGGAGAAATAGAGATTGCGCCCATCGCGTTACCGCTAATCCGCTCTTTGTGTATCCGCTGTGTGCGTGATGTCATCTTGGTGCAATTGTTGATTGAGGAAAACCAAATAACGATTTAACTCTATACAGTTTAGTTATTTGCCCAATGATTTCGGGCTATTGTATTCAAATGGGTGACCCGGTCAAAAACACCTTCGACTAAAACTAGTAAAACTGTCAAAAATTAAAAATTTGCTCAGAGCGAGAGAGTAGATAGATAGATTTGTTAGAAGAAGTGCACTGCGACCTTAGGTATATTGTGCCCTCAGAGCTCATCAAAACACCTCGTCCAGCCCCAGTGCTCTGATGAAACCAAGCAGTTTCGAGGGATGTAGAGAGTGAATGTGTGAAGCCTCAGGCCACAACTTTCCCAAGTGTGTTTGCCTTCTTCTCGACACTGCGTCATATTCTAAGAGGATGTGCGCGGGGTTTCTGGGACCCTGTCGCAATAGCGGCAGGAATCGTCTGCTCTAATCTCTAAGGTATGCATATGGGCCCGCAGCCTTCAGTGACCAGTTAGCACTCGTGTAATAAACCTTAAATTAGTCTTGTTGAGTGTAATTAGTTCTCTGAATCTTCTGGGATTACAGCTTCCTAGAAGTTCTTTCGCCTACCTTAGTCCAGACGTGTTCTTCCAATGTGTTCTGATCAGGTTTCGTTCCTCTACTCGTAACTCTTCCCTGATAGTGTGTGGACCAACTGTAAGGAAGGGTTCTGGTCCTATGGGTCGAGTGGCTGTTGCTTCCCTAGCGAGCTTGTCGGCCTCCTCGTTGCCCTGAACGCCTTTGTGGCCCGGGACCTACATCAGATGTACTGTGTTGAGTTCCCCCAGGGCGTTTAGTCTGTTTACACATTCCCATACCAACCGTGAATTAATTTCACACGGCGATACGGCTCTCAGTGCAGCCTGACTGTCGCTGCAGATGACAATGTGCTGTTTTCTTGGTTATCTCTGCAGAATTACCTCTGCACAGATGTCGATGGCAAAAACCTCCGCCTGAAAGATACTGGTATAGTTCCCCAGGGGAATGGAGATACTGGCTTGGGGTCATGTATTCCTGCCCCTATCCCTTCGTCGGTTTTGGAGCCATCTGTGAACCACCTTTGGGTATGGGGCCGAAAGGTGTTATCTAATATTGTCTCGTTCCAGGTTGCCTTGCTCTCTTGTTCGGTTCTAAACTTTTCTCGAAGGTTCTTAGCCTAACCATGTCGTCTCTATTGAGCTGGGAGATAGGAATCATGCTTTTTGATTTCCTCTCCCAGTCTTCTCGAGACCACCTTGCCTTTTCCAGTGGCCTCCCTCATAAAATTTAGGAGGGCTTTTTGGCGGTTTGTTCTATGACTATGTGCAGTGGCGATAGATCCAGGATTACCTCCAGGGCTGCAGTAGGACATGTGCGCATGGCACCTGTTATACAGGTGCACGCCAGTCGCTGCAGCCTGGACAGCGACGCCCTTACCGTGTTGAGGGCAGCCCGCTCGGACCATGCCACTGCTCCGTATGTAACTATTGACCTGACAATCATTGTGTACATCCATCGTAGGATGTAAGGGCTGCACCCCCACGATTTGCCGGCCAGTCTCCTGCACACCATTAAAGCTGGTGTGGCTTTTATTACAGCGTACTCAATGTCCTTATTCCATAGCATTTTGCTGTCGAAGATGACTCCTAGATACTTAACTTAATTGCACATTTCTATCTCTATGCCCCCTAATGTTATAGAGTGCATGCCTGGAAGGTTTCTTCTCCTAGTAAAAGTAATAATGGCTGTTTTGGCGGGGTTTATGTTAAGGCCCACCGTGCCACACCATCTTTTAGTTAAGATGAGTGCTCTTTGTACAATGTCGCAGAGGGTGCTTTCAAATTTGCCCCTCGCTATAATTACTATATCGTCCACGTATCCTTGGCACAAAATGCCGTTGTTGGATAGTAACTCAAGTAGTTCGTCTTCGAATCTTCGATTCGGGATGGCTACGTTCCTTCTCTCTAGAGCTCGATCTACTGCCTCGCGTGAGGTGTTATCAAAGGCTCCTTCAATGTCTAAAAACGCACAGTGTTACCTCCCCCCCCCCTCAAGTGCATTCCGTATGGTAGTTGACAGCTGGAACAGCGCCGTCGATCTACCTGCCCGATAGGCGTGTGGCCCATGATGCAATGTGGTTGTCTATGATCTTCTCCATTGCCTTAAGAAGGAATGATGTTAGACTAATCGGGCAAAAAGATTTCGCCAGCGAGTAGTCTTACTTGCCTATCTTAGGAATGAATTTGACACAGGCTCTCATCCACGACTGTGGGAGATAGGCTAGTTCCAGGCTTTCCCGCATGATTTTGATTAGGATCGGGGTAAGCAGATCCAGTTCTTTCTGGTGTAAAATCGGCCATAAGCCGTCCACCCCAGGGGTTTTATAGGGCTCAAACGAATCGATGGCCCATCGTACGGTCGGCCAGGTGAACAGGTATTTTGCCGTCTTCCAGTCCTCCGAGGCTAGTTTATGACATTAATCACTATCCTCTGCCACCGGAGTTAATGCTCCTGGGAAGTGGGTAGTCAGAAAGGCCAGGGCCCTCTCTTCCTCACTTTTGGTGTAGCTGCCGTCTGGTAGTTTTATCGCCATATGGTTTTCACCTGTACCTCTAGCTACTCTGTGCAATCTGGCAGCCTCCGGGGGACAAATAGTCATCCCAATTTCTAGTACGTTTCGCACGGTTAAAGAGTTTTCTGACCTCTTTCCGGGGACCTGAGAGGTTGGAGTTCCACCATGGATTTCTATTCTGACCTTTTGGTGAAGTCAGCCGGCAGCTTGATGTATAGGCATTCGTTATTGCCTCATTTAAGCTGCCGACCTTCGCCTCCAATTCCTCCCATCGCTTAGCCCTGTTCTCTACGTTTGTGGTGGTTAGGTTTGCCTGTAGTGGTCTGTGATAATTGTTCCAGTCGGTCTTCCTGGGATTCTTACTGGGCATGCCTCTATTCATGGAGATCTCTAGGGAAAACTGTATGATCCTATGATCCGACATCGAGGGCTCTGAGGAGACCCTCCGGTCCGAGATCAAATTTCCCGCCCAGGTGTTCCCAAGAGTAACGTCCTGAACTTCCTCTCTTACCCTAGTTACAAAAGTGGGCTTATAACCTACATTGCAAATACTAAGGCCCTTACTTAATATAAAGTCTAGTAGAAGCTCACCCCTTTTATTGGTGTCAGTGCTGCCCCACTGTACATTATGTGCGTTGGCATCACATCCAATAACCAATGGAAAGCGCAGCTTCTCGCTGTACTCTACCAGTCCTCTGCCGTTACCAATGCTCTAACTTCCTCCGGTGGTATGGCGGCATCCCCAGCGAAGTAAGCCGAAGCAAAAACTACTTCTCTTGCCTGTCCGTGGAGATTAACCGGTAGTTGGATTCCCACCAGATCTCTCGGTAGAAACTCTGAAATGCAGAAGTAATTAGTCTCCTTCTTTAACATAACACAAGCTCTTGGGTTATCACATGATAAATCCCAGATTACCTTGATAGACTTCTCTGTCAGGCCCTTCACCTGACCTTTATACACCCACGGCTCTTGGCCTAAGACTATGCCCAGATCCTCCGAAGTGAACTTTCTTGCGATAACTGCAGATGCAGCTACCGCGTGATGGAGGTTAATCTGGGCAATCCTAAGGCGTGGTGTTGTCCAGATTTTTTTCTCTGGACCATCGGCTCGTCTACCTCTGAGAGCGTTAGTTCCTCCGGTTCTCTGCCAGGGCTTTGAAGGTTCAAGCCTTCTCCCAGCTCCTCCAGCTCCCTGGTCGATGGCACATCTTGTTGAGCTGCCCATCCTGTTGTCTCTGTCGTCGCGATGGCAGCCGCGGAGGTCAAAGGCCCTTCCACGCGGTGCTCGTCGACAATTTTGTCTCTGTCATTTGCTATCGCTGAGACTGGCGCGGAGGTCGAAGGCCCTTCTACGTACTGCTCATCGACGGCCATTGCCATGTGTGTTAATGCCTCACCTGTTGGCGTCGTGTGGGCAGCGTCCCCAGGAATTCTCTGCTTCCATGGCTTGACGAGGACGTTGCCGTACCTGTAATTGAGCCTAAAGCTCTGCCGTCTCATACTGCAGAATGAGTCTTCATCGACAGCCACATTCAGCCGTAGGTAGCCGTCTTCAACTTTTGCCTCCATGACTCTCCAGAGTGATGTGTTGAGGCTCTCGTTCTGAGCTCTCAGGAGACCCAGTGCATAGTCCTGGCCCCTGTCTATGCTCCATGGGAGGAAGATGGTGGCATTATGGGTTGGTGGTATGTCATCTCCGCTCCTGGTGTAAAGCGCCGGCCCTTCCCACCCGTTGAGCGAGCGAGAGAGTAAAGCCTGCTATACAGTTCAATGCGAGCGTGAGCGTGAGCTTTTTATTTTGACCAATATCTTCGTTATTACCTAACTTTTTGCAATAGTTGATACATCAAAAGATAGAGAATTAAAATATCTTTCATAAATACAGAATAAAAACTAATTTAAAAAGCATAATATGCCTTTTTTCAAGCTCCCACTCAACTGTGTGCGTACGCAAAGCATTCGCATGTGAACGACCAGTTTTGACAGATGTGTGTGAGCGTCCCAAAGAATACAAATGGAATTATTTGCCTTTGCGAACGTTCACGCTCACGCTCGCATTGAACTGTAAAGCATGCTTAACATTGAAAATTACTAGTAAAAAATGGTAACTTCTGTCAACTTCAACATAACCTCTAAATTTAGTTGTAAATAGGTTTGTTCGTCGAGCAAAATTTTTGTACGAATTTGTACGAATTATCTCGATTTTTGCCCTAATCGCGTTTGTGCAGACCAAAAATTTATCCAACAATCGAAAATTGTGAGAGCAAAGTGACAGTTCTCTTGAAGAGAAGTTGCAAATTTTTGCTGGAAAAAATTTTCCCAGCATGAATTTGCAAACACGAAAAACATGTGGTTGTGCCGCATGGTTGCATTTTTGTCTACAATAATTTGAATAAATCAGTTCGTTAAATTTAAAAATTTATAAACACGATTTTGTTATGAAAAAAGGAAGTAAATAATTGTTGATATAATTAATTTAGTTAATTCCAATGATTTGAATTTAACACGGCTGAAAAAAATTGTATTCGCAATCGGAATGTAATTGCAACCAGAGTCGATTTAAGAAACCGGACAGCTAGTACGATGAAGAAATTGAAATGTATGTATAAGAAAGTCAGAACAACAAGAAATATACATGTATATCCTGTTTTTGGCCATCCGAAATAATTTTAAAAATTCTATAAAAAATTTTTATGTTTGAAATGCAACCGTGGACACCAGCTGGCAAGGAAACTTGCAAATTCCTGCAAATTCGCGTTCGTGCAGAAATTTGCAAGTTTCTCAACATGAGAGAGAATTTGAGAGAATTTTTTCTTACTCTCTGATATTTTGAGTGTTGGATAATTCTTGCTGGATTTTCGACGAACAAACCTAATGTTTGCTTATTTTGTATGTAAACACTTACACATGTAAATAACCAAAAATACTTTCAAATTCATTACAATCCAAACCTCAAATTCCTAACCTCAAAACCCTCCCCGGATTTTCTCGTGAAATCCGAGATGTTTTTTGAGGTTAGAAGAAAATCCAGACGTGATGGAGCAAAACGGACTTCAGATTCATGTTCAGCGACCCCAAAAACATGTAGTAGTTTAGGTTTGGTCAAAGGAACCTTTCATCGATTTTTTTTTGTGGACCATGCCGAGTTTGGCACGAATTGCTCGAACGGTTACCGGGATAAGACATTTGTGGTCATAAGTGGGCGGTGCCACGCCCATTTTCCAAAATTTTATTATAAACGTATTTTGTGCTAAAGAATTATTCCAAACATCAAATTGAATAAATTAGCTTCGGTATTTACTATTTATCAGATTTCCTATTTCTCCAAATTACCGTTATATGGGATGTGGGCGTGGTTACTGTCCGATTTAAAAAATTTTCGGCCATTTGATATGTTGTACTAAGGCCAACAACCGTGCGAGGGAAATTGGTGCAGCTATAACAGAGATATACACATGTAGTCATAAGTGGGCGTGGCCCATTTTCATCATTTGTGGTAATCGTTAAATTTGAAAGATTACACTTAAAGTATTCGTTATCAAGCATGTTATAATTACAATTAGGGTAATCGTAATGCTAAAAATAAGTAATGAAAATGTACCTAATCGTGCCCAGCTCTGTTGTAAATTTTTTTTTGTACTACTATCACCTTAAATCAATTCGCCTTGATATGATTTAATTGTACACACACTTATTTTTGGATTAATTTTTTATTATTCAGCCTTATCGCCAATTATGGTTTGATTAAATCGCCCCTTTAATTTAACAGGTATACAACATTAAACATATTCGTACTGGTAAACATATTGGGAAAAATCTTTTTTGTTTAGCATTATAATTTTTGGGAATATGGAATTCGCGATAAGGCCGATTATTGTGAAGAAAATTCCACACAACGTAATGCAAAATGTGAAAATCACCAAAACAAATAAATAAAATTACTTAGCACATACATATGTATGTACTCTAGTTTTTCACCATTGTTTTCGCCTAAGTTTTCTACTGTTGCTGTTGTTTTAACCTCGAAATCATGTAATCTAGAGTCATCCTTCTTTTAGTTGCTCTCATAAAATACGGTGGCATTTGATAAAAAATGTTGATGTATGCGATTGATATTAAGCACATTATATTTATTTATTTATTGGCATCTTCGACCGGTTTTGAATTCAAATCTTGATCTGGAATATCTCTTTTCTTATCGAATACTGCATAACCATTTTGTTTCGACGCCAGCGGCGTGAGGTTATCTGCCGTCCGGGATCTGAGAAAAAAAAACATGATAACAATATCACAAGATTTATTAGTTGTGTTTAATGACAATAAACAATAGGGCAAGTTCGAGCAACTAAGATCAGAAACCTCATGAAACACTTTTCAGGCAGAAATTCGCAGTTGCTCGCTCTAGGTTACTCCATCAAAAAAGCTGGTGCAGAAAATCGTGCTCTAAGTTGCTCTAGTTCCATTTAGCGCAGACTCATGAAACAAAAAGTAGAGTGTGTTAACCTCCCTATTATAATTGCCATTCGTACTGTCATCAGGTATGTAACTTGAGAACAGAAATCGCTGCATCTTTTAGGCGCATCAATATTACATAGTTACATCCCGAGCTAATAAAAGGAAGGTAAAATAGATTGGCGCTTACACATATGTTAGGGTTTGGCCGACCTTCCCCTCCGATTTGTGTCGTGCGCCTTGATGTTGTCACACAAAGGGGAGGGACCTACAGTTTTACGCAGAAATACACTCGGAGGTTTGACATCGCCTGCCGAGGGGCGACCGCTGTTAAGAAAAACCCTTTTTTCAAAATTTGTTTGTGGTGTTGCTTTGACCATTGCTTGAACCCAAGCCCTGCGTAGTGGAAGCGCGCACTGCTTACTACTACACCACAGAGGCCGCCAAAGCAAGAGTAGAGTAAGTTAGAGCAAGAAATATCCCATGAAACACGATTTTGTGTCATATCTTAACCTGGCGTAACCTAGAGCAGCTCATTAAACACAACTATTATACATACTCGCTTAGCTTATAATTTCACATCTTAAGACTTACACTGCCTTTAAAACATCCAAATTGGGTATATTTCTTGTATACGCTTTAACACCTGACGCTTCTAGCGCAGCTAGTTCCACTGGATGCATAGTCTTTTTATGAAAACGACAACTAGGGCCAGTCGAGAAAGTTTTTTCACAAAAGTCGCATGAATAAGGTCTAAGGCCGGTATGTGCAATTAAATGATTTTTAAGAGTTTTGGCACGCTTAAAGAGCCGACCACAATAATCACATTTATGTGGCATCTTATCGGAATGCACCAGCAAATGACTATTAAGAGTAGCACGCGTACTTAATTGCTTGCCACATTCTGTGCATATATGCTTGTCTCCATGTATTTGCATGTGTCTCTGGAAATAGCGCTACTGTTAAATAATGATATAAATATCGGATATATCCGTACCTTCAAACGTTGCTTTTGCTTGAAGCATTTTCCACATTCCTTACATTCGAAGGGCGAATAATCTGTGTGTGTCAACATATGCTCTTTGAGTTGTCCTTTAGTGCGCAAACCATCACCGCAAGTTTCGCAAATAAATGGACGTTCATCCTGGTGCACAAACTTTATGTGTTGAGCTACGTATTCTTTTATTTGAAATTTTCGATCACAGTGTGGGCAGGGGAACAATTCCTGATGATCTTTCATATGACGCTTTAAACTTAATTCATTCTCGAATGAATTAGTGCATTTCGGACAAACGATTATTCCATGTTTTTTCTTCATATGAACAGAGTAGTTGCCACTACGTTGAAAACGTTGGGAGCAAAATTTGCAAATGTATTTACGCTTTTTCGAGATTTCTGAAGGGTTATCTGATTGCAAGATTTCATTATTAACTGCATTATTTTTTGAGTCCTCTTCATCTTCTGAGGTATCCATTGGCATATTATAATCTTCACTTCCACTACTACTCTCATCGTCCGGTGTGGAAGGGCAGTCCTTTAGTCCGGTAGGCGCACTTTCTTCCCCAAAAGGATCTAATTCGTCTTTCTTTTCAAACTCTTTAATAAATACCTCAGTTGATAGTTCATCAGACGCTTTTTCCTTTTTTACTTTATACTTTGAGGCATGTGTATTGCTCGTGTTAGGCGAGTCAGCAATGAAAACTTCTTCTACGGTGGGCGTGGTGGCCTGTTGTACCGCCGAAAGTTCTTTAGTTAAACCATACTTTTCATATACAGCCAGTATATCTACTTTCGTTTTGTCGTCACTATGGAGAAGATCATCATACAATTGTTGAACTTTTCCCACATTCTCACTGAATTTGACGAATGATGCAATTACATGGCAACAATCCGTACAAACCATAGGCGAAAGCTTTTCATCTTCTTTGATCTGTTTGCAAGAATAAAAAATAATGCATAATTCTATTCATGTATCATGATTCTATTAGATAAATTTTCAAAGACAAGCTTACATGAACACGAAAGAAATCCCCTATAACGGAAACCATGTCAAATGGGTTGTAATTTGTGCTTTCATGTAAAAACTCTGGATATTGTCGCGATAGGACATTAATGTACTGAGCGTCAGCTTTCGCGCAGAGGCGGCACCAGCTTTTCCATTCTTTGACAAAAGAGGTTTTTCCGTCATTTCTCCAATAGTCCGTTTCGCTCGATTCTATATGCGACATAATAGCATAAAAGGCAAGGTAACAATCCCAAATTTTTACTATGTATACACAATGAAATGCTCCTGCGCCTCGAAAATTTGTTACAATTGTTTATAACATTTTCCAGTTTTGAGATACAAACAATGTATCGATATTTATTACAGGCGATAACTAATGCCTTGGTTATAGTGCACGGGGCGAATAGTAACGAATCGCGACGAATTCACGAAAGAACAAGAAAATGAAAAAAGTAGATATTAGGAGCGTTCCTTATCTCCCAGAAATAGTCAGAAAAAGTCCGAAGTAGTCAGATTTAGTCCAAAAAGCGTCCCGTAACTCGGAAATGACAGCAAAACTGAGAGAGCAACACTCAGTGAGAGTGACTCTCATCAGTCCGAAGTAGTTAGATTTAGTCAGAAGAATTTTTCCTGGCAAAATCCTGAAAAGTGTCAAACTCAACTGAATTTAAATTAACAGAAATTAAAGAATACGCAAAAAGTGAGAATAATCTAAAAAGTTAAAAAAGTGAATTGAAATTGGAAGGAGGTAAAAAAAATTGATATAGTAAGGGCCGGTTGCTCAAAGCCTGATTAACACGAATCACCGATTAACATCGTTATCGACGTTTTCGGCTCCATGCAAATAACATGGTGTCGGTAACGTCGATAACGATGTTTAACCGGGGATTAGTGTCAACCGGGCTTTGAGCAACCGGCCCTAAGTGTTTATTGTGCTTGTGCTTGTGCTTGTGTGAATGTGTTTTGTACATACATTTCCATTCTTATTTGACGTTAGCTTTGTTGTTGCCTTTCTTTGGACTAAAAATTTGGTTTTTTGTGTTCCTTTACTTTTGCTGTTATTTTCTTTTAGTGAGCGCAGTTTGCTTACGCTCTGGCATTTTGACACTTTTCAGATTTTAGTCCAAAAAGATAAGGAATTAAACTATTTTTAGTGGGTTCTACGCCATCTTGATTCGCTGGAAAACGAAGAAAATTAAACCAAGTAAACAAAGAAAAGAAAACAACGAAAACCAAAATGACCCAAATTGTTGTCAGCCATTTTAAACACCCAATTTAGATAAAATCACTCATAAAAATGCCTTAAAACGTGTTCTCATGTTGAATTACGCTTACGTGCACTATAATTCTGTATTGTGACTATAACCATTTGCATTCATTTTGCATACAATAGATAATTAAGTAACAGTTTACTCTGTTCCATTACTTCCATTATAACCCGGCCCCTAGATTTTCGCTGCCGTTGTACTGATTGTTATAATAATTTGTTTGTTGTAAAATCTGATTGTCATTGTGCGTATAATTTGTTAGTATAGTTTTTTTGTTTTTGGGCTACCGCTACCACCTTATATGAATTCGCCTGTGGTTTTCCATACAAATTTTGACATTTCATTTGCGAGGGTTTAAAATTACATTTTGGCAAGTTTGCGAGGGTTTTGCGCTTTTAAATGAGTACCCTTATTATTTGTATGAATTCGTCTTGACCACAACGGATATTTTCGACCGAAACTCAAGGCATATTTAATAACGGCGCGTTTAGATTAGACAATGCTGACAATACAATAAAGAAATCCGTATTAATTGTCAAAAACACTTTTTTCTTTCATTTTCACTTTCATTTTGAGCAAAATGTCAGAAGTGAAAGTTTATCTGTTATTCTTATTAACATCTAATTTCCATCTCAATCATCTTCAACAATGGTCGGTGTCAAGCAGTGTTGCCAGGTCTTCGACATGAGAAAACGCCCCCCGTTGGCCTGAAAAAACGTCATTTCCCACCCAAAAACAGACAAAACAATGACTTCAAAACACTTATTCATGTATTTGTGATGCTGTTACGTGTTACTGTTACTGTTGCGTAAAGCCAAATTGGAATCGAGTTAACAATATTGCTTAAACGATCAAACAATTTATGTTTACATGACGCAAGACAATTTCAACACGATATCGTCCAAACGATTGTCGTCATACAGGATTCATGCCCTGGCTCATTTTATAACAAACAAAATATAAATCCACATTTCAAACTTTGTGCAACAAATTATACAAAATCTGCAAAGTTTCAGCTAGATTTTCAACTAGTTATTCAGATTTTTAAGAATTTTTTTGAGAATCCAGGATAATAATGTGCAAGTTTTAAGTTACTAAAGAATCGCGTTGATTTTTAATATATTTTTTTCTCTTGTAGACATTTTGTTAGGTGGTCGGTTATCGAAAATGCTAAATTACGTTCTGCTAAAAAGGAACATAGCAATATTTCAGCATTTTTTTGCGTTCATTACATTTTCAATGAAGTCTTAAAAAAGTCGCATACTTTTTCTGACATTTTATGCTGCTACGGCTTTTTCATGCGTTTGCGAGTGTTCGTGTTGCAATAGATCAGCTCTTCCGGATTTGGCTTTTAATGTGCAATTGCAATAAGCCTCGTAACCTCAAGTGGTTACAAAACCAGCCTTTGAACGCGGGATCCTTAGTCCAACATTCCAAAAAAATGAGCGTATGTCTGATTTGCATCGTATTTAAGTAATTTGTGTCCAAAGGATAAATATCTTTTGAAGAAGCTGCTGCAAAAAAACAAAGATTGTAAAGATTTATTAAGAAAATAATTCAAAATCAGTTCTACTTACAAGATTTAGTAACAGAGAAAAATTACTGGAAAGTTAAAAAACGTAATTTTTTGCACAAAAAAACTTCCGAACGTCAACAAGATACAAAATGGGTGTGCTGTCAAATCAGTAAAAGCAAAAACAAAATACATGTAAGACGAAAAAATCAGCTGATTTTACAACACCACCTTGTATAAATTCGTCTTGCCTTGGTTGTTTATAGAAATTTTTTAGGCAAAATAAAGTCCACAAATTAAGCACATCCTTCCGGTGATGTCATATGTACGTCAGTGAACTTAAAAAGAGCCAAATTTGAATGTAGCTAAAAAAACGATAGATATTGACTACGTGAAAAAACCTAAGCCCCCCGCCTCTCATTGTGGGCAAGCGTGATATTTTTATATTATTTGTTTTTTTTTTATTAATTTCACTAATTACATTAGGGATGCCCAAATCAGCATATATGTGTCGCGGGCGACTGCGCGTGCAAAGCTTTGCACAGCGGTGCTGGGCAAGCGCGGAAGCAAAAAGTTATCGGAAGGGGAAAACGAAGTCAACATAATAGTGAGATTGTATGTGTGACAGTGATGGAAAAGTGAGCATTGTGCCATTTTCGGTCCTTTCGGAAGCAGCCGGCACCTTCAGCACAATCGATTGATTTTCGGCACTATTTTTGCGTAACTCAATGCAACTAATAAATATTTCTTTCGGATCCGCAATTAAAAATATTTTTTTTACATTTAATCGTATGTGCTTAAACTGATAAATGATATAAACATAGAAACGCAAGCAGAACAATCTCGCTTCCACATTCTGCATATGCGCTTAACATTTTTGTTTAAACAAATTTGTCGAAATTTCATCTCTAAAGTAAATATTAAATACCATTTAATATATACTTTAGGTTTAAATAATCATTTTTAGTGGTAGGCGAGTCCGAGATGTTTAAATGATCGAGATAGTACATTCAATTCGCGTAGATTTTTGAGAACTTTTTTCGTTGAAGGTGTTGCACTTTTTCTTCCACACTGAAATTTGTGTACATCATTTATCATTGTCTAACAAAAACTATAAAATAAAGCTTAATTTAAACTGTTGAAATAAAAAACAACAACGCTACACGCGCATTCATCCATATAACATAAAATGGGAACGTTCGTTATATGGAAGAAAGTGCGCAACACCGCAAACAGAAAAATTCAAAAAATCAATGGTATTTTCTAGACACTTCAAACTTGCACCTTATTATACTAGAATGAACCCAAACATGTCTACAAATTCTGAACAAAAACTGTGAAAATTTGATGAAAGTTTGTTCATTTTTTTCATTATTTCAAGTTTAGATTTATTGGCAAGGTTTTTGTTTGACAATGAGCTACAATTTTATAAAAAAAAATAATTAAAATTATTTAAAAAAATAAAATAAATACCGGGTGACCGTGTAAAAGACCGTGTCAAAGATGAAGACAATGATGATAAAACATTAATACACTATATAGGTCAGTTCATATTAATGAACATAAAATGAGATCACTATCGATAAAATGGAAATCCTCAAGGGAAATTTATAATTTCAACGCATGGAGTTTAAATACATTTTTTTACTTTCAACCCCCGAATTGCTCAATTACTTCTATTTCTGCTGGATCGCCATTAGGTAAATTGCATTTCCAAAGATTTTTTCAAAATAAATAGCGATGAGGAATATTTCATCCGCCGGTGATAAGAAATCGCAATCACCATAACGCACATCACTAATATTACTGCTCACAATCACGTTTACATTCAAAATTACAATTCATAATTTCGTTTTGTAGCAAATATAGGTATATCCATTTACTTAAATGTAAACGGATTAAGAATCAAAGTGCTAGAAGAGATTTGAGCGTTTGGTACAAAAAGTATTTTTGATGTTGAAATTGTACTTAAAATCGGCAAATTGTAGTTTTGTACTTTTTAAAATTAATTGTACTGAAGAAAGTACAATTGTACTAAAAATATCAACACTGTTTCATTGGCGTGACAATTGTCACTTTACTTTACTTGATATTGTTACGATTATCCTCGAAACCTTGAGGGATTTCCCAAATATACT